GATGAAACTCCTGAAATTTAAAGCGAGACAAACTGTCAGCAGCTGTGTTATATACACCTGGCACATGGAAACAACATAGGAAGAAATTATGACAAGCTGCCAACCAAGTGAGTTTCCTCAGAAATCTCATAATCGTAAGAGATTTGGAACGACCTTTGTTGATGATGTGACAGGTTGCCTGGTTGTCTGAGTAACAACGCACTGGCGTATTAGCCCATAAATGACCCCACGCTGCGGCAGCCGCCACTATGGGGTAGATCTCAAAAAGAGCTGAGGTAGTGGAAAAACCTTCCAAATCCAGAACTGCTGAAGGCCAGCTGCCCCAAAGCCATTCGTTCCCAAAAATTGCTGCAAAACCAGTGGTAGATGCCGCATCTGACCAAATGGTAGGAGATGATTCAGTCAATTGAGGGTGGAACATACTTTTACCATTCCAAGTGGTTAAAAACCTCTTCCACATGTTTAGATCTGCAGTAGCTTGGGCATCTAAGGACAACCTGTGCGTGTCATGTAGAAAAAGTGGGAAAAGATGCAATAGTCGTGAAATAAAGGAGCGGCTTTGAGGTATGATGCGCATTGCAAAATTTAGTGACCCCAGCAGGGACTGTAGTTCTTTGCGGTTGCAAGTGCCGAGCTGTAGGTAGTTGTTTATGTAAGTGAGAATATTCTCTATCTTATCGTAAGGTAGGCTTGCTTGCATTGTGGCAGAGTCTAATTGGATACCCAGAAAAGTGATAACCGTGTCTGGCCCTTCTGTTTTCTTTGGGGAGATGGGTACACCTAGTTGCTCAAACAGTTTAGTGGTAGCTTTGAGGCTAGTGGGAGGTGCAGTATTCTCTTTGACCAGTAGGAAATCATCCAAGTAATGTAATACTGTAGGGCATCCGGCTATGTTCAATAGTAACCAGCATAATGCTTTGGCAAATGTGTCGAAAATAGCTGGGCTACTTTTGGACCCAAAAGTTAACCGGGAGAAAAAATAGTAGTTCTCGGACCACTTGATGCCATGCAGGTGCCACAGTGTGGGGTGGATAGGGAGTAATTTGAAGGCGTTAGTAATGTCAGTCTTACTGAGCCAGGCTCCAACCCCTGCTTGTATGATAGCTGTAATGGCGTGATCTATGGTGGTGTGTTGCAGAGAGAATTCCTCAGAGGGTATGAGGGAATTAAGACTGGGGTTGGCCGATGAGTGGGGAGCCGATAAGTCAATGATGAGTCTCTGTTTTTGGGAAGATTTCCCTGTGACAATACCAATAGGGTTGGTGTGCCATTCTGTGAATGGAGGAGTTCTAAAAGGCCCCAATACAAAGCCCTCATCCACTTCTTGGTCTATGAGGGTGTCAACCACTGTGGGGTTGTGTTGGGCAGATTGTAGGTTAGGGCATTCCAGAGTTCCAGCTGGTATGTGTAGGATACCTGTGTGGAAGCCTTCTGTTAAACCAGAAATAAGAAAATCTACCAGGTGTCTAGATGGGTGCTGAGACATCAGTGCTGTGAATACTGGCATATTAATGGACGTAAGGTAAGGCTTAGAATACATTTTATTTGGACACATGGTCTTAGCATGTGCCTTAAAACATTTTGAACAGACATGCAATAGTCTACATCCACTGTAATTACAAGACCCAACATTGAAATTATTACATATCTGGGACTTGCCCAGAAACTTGATTAGGCGTCCCAATTTGTCTTTGGATAGTTTCCCTGGATCCCCAGAGGAACTAGTTCCTTGTGTGGAGGCATGTCCGTCTGCCGTGTTGGGACAAAAATTAGTAGTATGGGCTGTGGAGGAGCAGTATGCACAAGCTGGTGTTCTTAGACCTGCAAAGTGTCTGCAAAATAAGACGGTATCAATCCTTCCCCAGTTGGATCGTGTACCGTACTGGGAGAAGGCTCCAGCCACTTTTGCAGAAAAGACCTATGGTAGTCATAGAATGCTGAACCACCATATTTGTTGCCCAGGTCTACCAGCTTGTGCATATAGAGATCAAACTCCTCTCTTCTGTTGGGATAAACCGCACAGACGACATCCCTGTAAATACCAAATGCTAGTACGAATTCAGGGATAGTCAGTTTCCTGTTCAGGCGGGCATCCCTAGATCTGACAATAACAGAAACATCATCATAAGCATACGTCTTATGTTCCACAATGTCCTGGGAGGCAATCAACAGGAAAGCCAGGTTGACGTCTTTACCTTCCAGGATATCCCTTTTGATATGCTCAGGTATCATGTGGGCCGGGCTAACTTCCTGGTCATCCAGGGTGCTGGCTGGAGCGACTAATGGCAAGGCTGGTGTTTGTACCGCAGCCGCGGGTGGCCCTGCTAGAGTGAGGGCCGTGGTGACCGACACAAGTTTCTCCAGCCTGGAGTTGACCTTGCCCATGGATGCCATGAGTGAGGATAACATGGCATGTATGTCCCCTGGGTTGGACTGGCTAGATCCTTCCCCGGCTTCCATGTTCTTGGTGACTGTATGACAGAAAACAGGGGAAGGGAGTGACAGGTGAGGCCCTCTCTATGCAACATGCGAGGCGGCTAGCTAACGTGTGGCCCGATGGGTGTTTGCCTCCGAAACGTTTGAGGCGGGGTGTTGGCCTCGCGGGACCACTAACTGATGGCGACAACCAAGACGTGGTAAATACCTATTGGGAATCCTGTGACCCTATTGCCAGTACTCTAAACTAGGGGGATGAAATGAAATGTATGGTAGAATACCATATGAGCAGGTGTACGTACCTGATAGTATGATAAATGACAGGAATAAACCGTGTGGAGCAATTATATAAGCTTGACAGCCTAAAAATGGGTAAAAGAGAGTAGTATGATGAGTGTGGAGTGTAAAAAGAACCAGACTTATAGTCTGTAGCAGCAATGTATAAAATTATGTTGATACCATGGGAATAGCTATGAGTGGCTCAGAAATGTTTGCATGCTTGAATAAGACATCTGAGGAGGCCGTGGCCTATGTACAAACAATCTATGTGTTACGTGATAATGGTGTGTAAAGGAAAACATGAAACGTAGGTTATATACATATGTATATGACTGTGCAGGGGACGTATGATTGGTTGGATCAGTACGTGTGATTCAACCCGAGTATGCATGCGAAAGGATTTAAGCCTTATGTGTCATCGTCATGACAGAGAAATGAGGCCTGTAATGTAGGCTGAGTGAATTGAAATGAAATGGATAGTTATAAAACTCCTGGCGTGGGAGTTCAATGATCTGTACCGAAATGTAACTGGTTTTATAGAAAGGGACATGGATGAGGTCATGGCCTAATTAACACAGCGTTATGTATGATATGTAGCAGAATAACCAAAGGCAGGGATACCCCAAAATGATTTAAAATGATGTAAAGTGATGTATATCTATATGATATGTTTGTATAGAAAAGACGTATCAACCCGAGAATTATTGCTTAAATGAACCTATATCCTTTGTATGTGTTGTATTAATAACCCAGAAGTGAGGCTTGTAACATAGGCTGAGTCCATTTGTATAAATGGATAAGTAATGCAGACCCCTGAAAGCGTGGGAGTCAAATGGTATATACAGAGAAGTGGACTTGATTTGTGGACGTAATACAATACTGACAATATTTTAAAAGTAATCAAAATCTATTAAGCAAGCAATTCTTTAACCGAACGTTATATACACATGAAATGGTGAACATAATTCATGAAAGGATTATACGTGAACACACAGAAAAGCCGAAAGCAAATGTGAGGGGAACACAGAAGTTAGAATAGTTTAACCGTATGATTTATGCGAACCAAAAGCGTGTATGAGCGTATGTAAAATTTGCCGAACGGCAAAACAACCGAATGAAAATTCGTTTCAATAACATGAAATAGGATATGCGAAATGACTATTGAACGATTTAAATATGTTCAACCGAATGACCGTACGAATGAAAAGCCCGCGAATGGCTTGAAACATTCGTGTCATAACCAGGGAAAAGCCGTAAAGCGAGGACCCGTGCTGTACCGTACGCCGTGGGAACCAGTCCTGGCGTGACAGGAAGGTCTGACTTACGGTTTAGGAGTCCCTGGGACGCGATCTACGACGGAGAACGGAGTCAGAAGAAGCTGGACGGGCGGAAAGGCCTGAACAGGATTCCTGGACACAGCTTAACGTGGTGAAACCTCCTGGATACTGAAACCAAGATGGCGTCTGAGAGAACCCGGAAGTGGATCCTCATTCAACGCTGACCTCGAACGGTAAGGAGCCAGGCAAGGGGAGTGCCTTAAGTAGGCTAGGGGTAGCAAACCAGCACCTCCCACAAATGCAGGCAAATTGCCTTAATACATATATATATATATATATTTGTGTTCGGGGCAAATAGCCGTATATGGAGTAAGGTTCCAGCATAAGCGTAGGATAGTATAAAGGGAGCAAGTCGGTTGTGGTGTGCCGAGACCGACGATACGGTAGGCCTGTAAATAAAGAGGGCCCACCAAGGAGTAAGTAAGTAAAGTAAATGGAAAGAAAAGAGAAAGTGTTGAAATGAGGAGTGGGTGGGAGGGTCATTCTGATGCTGACCTCAAGCGATATGAGTCAGGTAAGGGGTGTCCCTTATATAGGGGAGTGAATTAATTTAAGCCCCTCCCACAAATACAGGCCAAACGGCCTTAAAACATATACATATACATACAGTTGCAAGAAAAAGTATGTGAACCCTTTGGAATGATATGGATTTCTGCACAAATTGGTCATAAAATGTGATCTGATCGTCATCTAAGTCACAACAATAGACAATCACAGTCTGCTTAAACTAATAACACACAAAGAATGAAATGTTGCCATGTTTTTATTGACCACACCATGTAAACATTCACAGTGCAGGTGGAAAAAGTATGTGAACCCCTAGACTAATGACATCTCCAAGAGCTAATTGGAGTGAGATGTCAGCCAACTGGAGTCCAATCAATGAGATGAGATTGGAGGTGTTGGTTACAGCTGCCCTGCCCTATAAAAAACACACACCAGTTCTGGGTTTGCTTTTCACAAGAAGCATTGCCTGATGTGAATGATGCCTCACACAAAAGAGCTCTCAGAAGACCTACGATTAAGAATTGTTGACTTGCATAAAGCTGGAAAGGGTTATAAAAAGTATCTCCAAAAGCCTTGCTGTTCATCAGTCCACGGTAAGACAAATTGTCTATAAATGGAGAAAGTTCAGCACTGCTGCTACTCTCCTTAGGAGTGGCCGTCCTGTAAAGATGACTTCAAGAGCACAGCGCAGACTGCTCAATGAGGTGAAGAAGAAGCCTAGAGTGTCAGCTAAAGACTTACAAAAGTCACTGGCAAATGCTAACATCTCTGTTAGCGAATCTACAATACGTAAAACACTAAACAAGAATGGATTTCATGGGAGGATATCACAGAGGAAGCCACTGCTGTCCAAACAAAACATTGCTGCACGTTTACAGTTTGCACAAGAGCACCTGGATGTTCCACAGTAGTACTGGCAAAATATTCTGTGGACAGATGAAAGCAAAGTTGAATTGTTTGGAAGAAACACACAACACTATGTGTGGCAAAAAAAAGGCACAGCACACCAACATCAAAACCTCATCCCAACTGTGAAGTATGGTGGTCGGGGCATCATGGTTTGGGGCTGCTTTGCTGCGTCAAGGCCTGGATGGATTGCTATCATCAAAGGAAAAATTAATTCTCAAGTTTATCAAGACATTTTGCAGGAGAACTTAAGGCCACCTGTCTACCAGCTGAAGCAATGACCCAAAGCATAGAAGTAAATCAACAACAGACTGGCTTAAACAGAAGAAAATACGCCTTCTGAAGTGGCCCAGTCAGAGTCCTGACCTCAACCCGATTGAGATGCTGTGGCATGACCTCAAGAAAGCAATTCACACCAGACATCCCAAGAATATTGCTGAACTGAAAGAGTTCTGTAAAAAGGAATGGTCAAGAATTAATCCTGACCGTTGTTGCACATCTGATCTGCAACTACAGGAAACGTTTGGTTGAAGTTATTGCTGCCAAAGGAGGTTCAACCAGTTATTAAATTCAAGGGTTCACATACTTTTTCCACCTGCACTGTGAATGTTTACATGGTGTGTTCAATAAAAACATGGCAACATTTCATTCTTAGTGTGTTTTTGGTTTAAGCAGACAGTGATTGTCTATTGTTGTGACTTAGATGATGATCAGATCACATTTTATGACCAATTTGTGCAGAAATCCATATCATTCCAAAGGGTTCACATACTTTTTCTTGCAACTGTGTGTGTATATGTATATACATATACATACACATACCCACACCCAAAAAGTTGTGGTGGGGAAAAAAGTGTGGATGAAAATCCCTTCCACCTGAAATAAGTGGATAGTTAATTTAATGTTAAACACATACACACACCAGTCAAGCCATAAGACTTGCTTTCCCCACAGAAATATCTCACTTTAACACTACTGCAAGGGATTCTGGGTAGGCATATGCAAATGAGCTCAACAAAGAACCACATTTTTGCCTCATATTTCAACTTTATAAATGGATTCTTTGGAGTATGAGTCTGCTGCATACAATAGCTTTGAAACAACTCAGGAAGAGGTTCTCTGGCATTGGTGGCTGGGATGTAGGCTGACAGTGTTATTGCACTAAAATAAACAAAGATTCCTGCACACTGATACACGGTGCACACGGTGCTCCGTGTCAGGTGGACATCGCTGGACCCACCAGTAAAGTCTTCAAAAGGAATAAACACAGACAACACTCCAATAGTAAGGACGGTATAGTTATTGATAGATGAACCACCCTATAGAAAGTCTGACGTTTCTGCTCAGTGGAGCAATAGTCTTGCCTGCATGATTACGGCTCCGCTGTGCCGAAACGTCGCACTTTCTATAGGTGGTTCACCTATCAATAAATATACCATCCTTACTATTGGAGTCTTGTCTGCATTTATTCCTTTTGAAGCAAATGTTACCTTTTTTCTTTTTTATTACAATGCTGTCTGTATATTCCTTTTTGCTCTATAATATGATTCTCACGTTATACCTCTCTTGGGAAAATTCATGTGAACTGAAGCTGCTAATTAGAGGGTGAACTGCACCTTAATATTATATATACTTTATATGAGTGACTTGGGAACAGTGAATACATAGCATCAGACAGTACTTAGCAGACACGCTATATGCAGCGGTATCATTACCTTTTCTACCCTATACCTAACTATTTGGCATCCCCCAGTGCATTTTGGGATGGTTTTTGAATACTGCTCTCTTGGCTCAATGTAGGTGGTATATTGCATAAAACAGGACACAAGCATTGATAATTTGTATGACCCTATATATAGATAAATTAGGGGGATTTACTAATGATATAATGCCCCTAAGTTACCGAAAATGTAAGTTTACTCCCTGGTCTCAAACAGTACTGGAAATTTCACTTGGTGACTTCACACTACTGTATGCGAGAAAAATATCATTTTTATTTTAATACTAACATGTCAAATACCGTGTGAAATATTGCAAGTTAAAGGACACTGTATACTGTCTAAAGCTTTTAACTTCTTAATATTTTTATTTAAAAAAATGAATAAGAGAAAACTTGCAAGTTTATAAATTTACATATTTTTATATTTAAGTTTGTCTGCAAAGCAAACACCTTCTAGTGGTATATGAAGTACTTATACCTAAGTGGAGCGCTACAGTGCAAAAAAGGATTCGACCATTTAGAGCCATATTATTTGTTTATAATTACCATTTGCACTATATGTACTCTTTTGTATTTTATGTACTGCCAATTCCCCCTGTACATCTATATATAGCAGTAAAAGGAGGGAAGTGCTCATGCCATTGTACAGAACACTGGTGAGACTTCACTTGGAGTATTGTACGCAGTACTGGAGACCGTATCTTCAGAAGGATATTGATACCTTAGAGGGGGTTCAGAGAAGGGCTACTAAACTGGTTCATGGATTGCGGGATAAAACTTACCAGGAAAGGTTAAAGGAACTTAACATGTATAGCTTGGAGGAAGCTTGTAGGGAGATGGGGGGAAATAGGCATAAGACTATCCTAGTTATAAGATAAGGCCAGGGACTAATTAAAGTATTTAGAAATTTGGGCAGACTAGATGGGCCGATTGGTTCTTATCTGATATATTTATTTACTAACTACTGTATGTATCTAAAGCTTCAAATAAATGTTGTGCTAATATTTTTCAATCAAAGAGCGCTCAGTGGTGAAGGGGTTAGTTAAGAATCAACCAAAAATGTTTTTTTGAGTTACACACATCTGAAAGCATGCAGATAGGTGTGAGATAAAATGAAAGTCAGTTCTCTGACCCATTTAAGGCGTAATAGAGATGGACAGAGTACATCCTGTGAGCCAAAAATAAAGAAAGAGCACAGACATCACTAGACGGTGTTTATTTACCGAACAGGAAATTGCAAAGAACTGACACCAAAATTGCAAATTTTCAGCCAAAACAAGTGACTACAAAAAATTGTTAAGATGGAGAATTGTTCTACCTCATTTCCAAGTATGTCACGAGGAGCCAGAACAACGCAATGCAATTACAATGTTACTTTTTTTAATACATACATGCTATAAAACAAATCAATAAAGGAGCACAAAGTGCAGCAATTTACTCTCCAATTTATAAAAGTATTTTATAGAAAATGTATTAAAAAAATATACATGAAAAAAATATTGTTTGTACATTGTTGGGCAGCGGAGTGTCCCTTTAACCTTTAACTGTGGTCAGGTTCTATGAGAAAAAGATACATAAGTGTATGAATTGTATGGAATGTTGTGATGGAGTAGGCTGTGTAAAAAATGTATGCTAAACTTTTAAGCTAGTTGATATAATTGTTTTGGAGCAGAGAGTGCTCTGCCCTCTTCCTTTCCGAGAGTTGACAGAGTGGACCATATCATAGAATTTGTGGAGAGCTGGAATGGTGTTTTTGCCTCCCTAGAGAAATGGTTCTAAACTACGGAAGAAAGCTAAAAGATAGACTATGACTAAAGTATTAGGTATCTAAAGTATTAGTCAGTCCGTGACATTTATGCCCCATTATTCTATTGGATAATGATATCACAATGCAGAATAAGGGGGAACAGTGTGTTGAATGGATATTTGTGGTTACTAGGACAAGACAGGAGCCATTGACTGACA